CCAGCGTCTACGTAGGGTCGCTGTCATACATCCTCTAGGTTTGGACGAGCGCGTAGCGACACGCGTCCACCATTATAGTGTCATACAGAGCGGCTTCACCGCCCCGAACACCCCCTGTGCTCCCCCTACTCAGCCCCGCGCCCCAGCCACCGATCTTTCTGCTGACGGCACGTGGCCTTTCAGACCGCTTTCCCGCCCTTAGTCATATGCGGCTAAGGTTCCTCCGCGTCTTTTCGCGGCTGACAACTCGTCTCTTCTTAGCGCTGAATAATGTCGCGTAGTTTGGAGCGGCTTTCTAAAGAATAACTTTGTGTGTCTGAATTTTAGAGTATCTAGAACAGAACGGTTGTTGGCCTACTCCAGACTTTTCAATAAATATCTGTTGAATGGGCGACTAGGATACATTAGAAACTAATATTTTCACAAATATCTAAGACTCTCCGACGCAGTCTGGTGAATTTAGTGAGGGAAGAAATGTCTCGGATCTCTGCGTTTGGGTGTGAAACTTTTCTGCGGGTTTTAGCAGCTGAGAGACGAGGTCCCCCCCTTGGGCCCGGCGTGGGTGGCTGTGGGAGAAGCTCAGGGACGTGGCCCCGAGCCCGCCAGCCCCCTGTGTCCCCCCGAGGGCAGGCGGGCACCCCGTCCCTGCGCTCCGCCTCTGGCACCCCTCACCCGTGGTGCCTCTGTTCCCGGGGTTCTCCCTCAACCTGCTCACCCTTCTTCTCTGCCCCTTTGATTCTCAGGGCGGCTGCTTTTGCAGAGAAAAGTAAGTGTGCGTTCGACGGTGACAGGCTCAACGTATCATTCGGGGAGGCGGAAGGGCCCACGCTTGACCGCAGTCATTTTGCTCTCGTTAAATGATAAATGGCAAAGCTGCTCCCCGCTGGGACGCCCTCCATGCTGCTCACACCTGCACTCCTGACGCCACCAACACGTCCTTCGTGCCCCGGCCCAGCCTCCTCAGTGTCCGCTCCTCCCCCGCCCCGGCCCCTGAGTCATCACCCTCCTCCTCCGTGTTCTTCATGAGATGGTCAGGGGCATCCAGGGAGGTGCAGCAGAGCTCAGGAAGCAAAGCTCATTCCCCTCCCAGGCCCTGCGATGGGACTCGCCGGGACCTGTGGGGCCCCGGGGGTG